AGAGATTGAAAGTATACAAGGTCACCCAGACTAGACCAGTTTGACCAGTTCAACCAGAGCAGATCAATGGAGATGGTCTGTTATTGAAGAGAACAATGTCAGTTGGTGAGGTTCACAGACCATGTCAGTTGGTGAGGTTCACAGACCATGTCAGTTGGTGAGGTTCACAGACCATGTCAGTTGGTGAGGTTCACAGACCATGTCAGTTGGTGATGGGATTTGACCCAGTTCTGAGAGGAGATCAATTGGATTAAAAAAAGATGGTGATAAAATCATATGTTGACTTGAGGTCATTAGTTCCAGTTCATTAGTTCCAGGTCATTAGTTCCAGTTCATTAGTTCCGTCATTAGTTCCAGAGTTCCAGTTCATTAGTTCCAGGTCATTAGTTCCAGGTCACTAGTGTTCTGTCAGTAGATCGAGGTGTAAAGAGGTGAGGTCGATGGAGGCCCGGTTCTTAGGAGGGCAGAGCTGACGGGGCTCTGTCGGCGTCGGCAGCCGTCAGAGGAGACTCTGGTTCCAGCTCAAAGCTGATGTTGACGAAAGATGTTCCAGAAGGTTCCGGCTGCTCCACGGTAGCAGAATAAACTACATCCTGTTTGTGACCTTTCCGCTCTGCAAAGTGACGTCCTGCTTCTTCAGAAAGACGGTTTTCCTCCTCTTCTTCAATCTCCTACAGGAAAGAGTAGGTACTGCAGTTAGGGACAAGTTTGACAGGGTTCCTGTTTGTTTCTGCCGCCTCACAGTGGCCGGGTTTAAAGGTGTGACTTTGTTTACATGATGATAATAGTGTGTAGGTGTAGGTCTGTGTGTGTAGGTCTGTCACCCACCTCCTTTTTCATCCTGTAGTACTCGTCAATAGCATACTGGTACTTTGGAGTAGTAATTCCAAAGAGCGAGGCCAGTTTCTCACCCATGTAGTCACAAACTACAGGAAACACAACAGCAAAGAGTCAAACACAGACTGGACACCACAGAGACACTGATGATGTCATGATGACGCTGTGGACTCCTGGACCTGAGATGGTGGAAGTGGCCATTCTCCACATTTGGAACCAGAAGTACGGCCCCCACGTCAGCCTGGCCTAGAGGTCACAAAGGTGAAAGAGGTCACACGATGAAACCACAGGAACAATAAAGGACAAACTCAAACTCCACATCAACACGTCTCTGACGGTCTACAGTCCACGTCAACACGTCTCTGACAGTCTGCAGTCGGTCTACAGTCCACGTCTCTGACGGTCTACTGTCCACATCAACAAGTCTCTGACGGTCTACTGTCCACATCAACAAGTCTCTGACGGTCTAACAGTCCACATCAACACGTCTCAACACGTCTCTGACGGTCTACAGTCGGTCTACAGTCCACGTCTCTGACGGTCTACAGTCCACATCAACACGTCTCTGACGATCTACAGTCCACATCAACACGTCTCTGACGATCTACAGTCCACATCAACACGTCTCTGACGATCTACAGTCAGTCTACAGTCCACGTCAACACGTCTCTGACGGTCTACAGTCCACATCAACACGTCTCTGACAGTCTACAGTCAGTCTACAGTCCACGTCAACACGTCTCTGACAGTCTACAGTAAGTCTACAGTCCACATCAACATGTCTGACGGTCTACAGTCAGTCTACAGTCCACGTCAACACGTCTTTGACAGTCTACAGTCCACGTCAACGCATCTCTGACGGTCTACAGTCCACATTAACACGTCTTTGACGGTCTACAGTTGTTTACAGTCCACGTCAACACGTCTCTGACAGTCTACAGTCAGTCTACAGTCCACATCAACACGTCTCTGACAGTCTACAGTCGGTCTACAGTCAACATCAACACGTCTCTGACGTCTACAGTCGGTCTACGGTCCACCTCAACCCATCTGACAGTCTACAGTCCACATCAACACATCTCTGACAGTCTACAGTCGGTCTACGGTCCACATCAACACATCTGACAGTCTACAGTCGTCTACAGTCCACTTCAACACATCTGACGGTCTACAGTCGTCTACAGTCCACGTCAACGCGTCTCTGACGGTTTACAGTTGTTTACAGTCCACGTCAACACGTCTCTAACAGTCTACAGTCAGTCTACAGTCCACGTCAACACGTCTCTGACGTCTACAGTCAGTCTACAGTCCACATCAACACGTCTTTGACGATCTACAGTCAGTCTACAGTCAGTCTACAGTCCACGTCAACACGTCTCTGACGTCTACAGTCGGTCTACAGTCCACATCAACACGTCTCTGACGTCTACAGTCGGTCTACAGTCCACATCAACACATCAAATACAAAAATGATCTTTTTTCTTGCAGAGGAGGTTTGTGTTCATGTTGACGTCATCGTTCTTATGACATCACCGAGTTACAAGTAGGTCTTTCTGAATGTTACACATCGGACCTTCAGATTGGAGCAGCCCACACGTGATCCAGACAGAAAGGCAGTTATTGTGTAGACTCACCCACAGGCCTGGTCTGGACCGGGGGCTGTTACAATATACCATGTCATTCTTAATGCCCCTGTAAATATATATTTAATTGTTTTTTCTTGTTTTCTTTGACGCCTACCGGATCGACGGTGGCGACATCCTTTTTAACCAGATCCTCCTCCGCCTCCTCCTCCTCCTCTTCATCAGTGCTGTACTCCTCCATGGTCTCTCCACTGGCGAAGTAAATGGTTCTTCTGGGGACCTTCACCGTCGTTCGACTCCCGGAGGTGTCGCCCATTTCTACAGTCTCACAGTCCGTCGTCCCGGCTGAAACCTGTCCGTCATCCAAAGACGATACATTCGCGGTGTTTAGGCGCTTTAAACATGCGTGTTTTTTTATGAATACTTTTATAATTATTAAGTGAGAAACAGACAAAAACCAAAGATTTGGAGTACACTCGTACGGGGCCGAAAGTTCGGAGAAACGTGAGCAAACTCCCCCAGTAATGTCGTCATGTGGAGCGAACTAATGTAGAAAGAAAGTGTTGCTACTTAACGAACCCGCCACAACAAAACAATGGTTGCTTAGTTAGCTTTCTAGTTAGCGATGAGTACTTTGTGGGTTGTTAGCTAGTTGAAGTGTTCGAACAATTCTTAGCAACACGTGAAAAGTGAAGAAAGTCGTAGAAGAACAAAGATAAACACAAACCTTCTCATTGTCCATAGTTTGTGTCACTGAAACACTGACACTGGTTAAAAACAGCGACAAATCTGCCATTTCTGCACTTCCACCTCACCGCTGCCTGACCGTGTCCACAGCCGCAACTTCCCTTTGGGATTTTCACAATAAAACAGCGTCGTCTTTTAAGCACGTACGAATAGATAAAAAGATAGAACTTTATTAACACCTCCCTCGTTTATTGTGAATTCTGCATTTATCTATGCAAGTATGAATTAATTATGTTTAAAGTTGGTTATTTAGTTTATACCAGTGTTATTTAAAAACTGAAATAAATACAGTTTACTTAAATTAGTCGAATGATGAATTAGTCATTATCGGGTCTGGTCTGAAGCTCGTGTTATTGGCGCCAAGTTCCTCGACCACCAGGGCCATAATTAATGACATAATAATTTGGTCTCATTTTTTTAATGTTGTATTTATTATCTAGTAAACAATGCAGCCAATGTCGCCAGCGCACAAAACAATGTCCGTGGATTTTAGCCATCGTTTTGTGTGACTTTATTTTGACAGTTACGTCAGAATCTTGTTCGTTACAGTAAGAACTGGTCGAATGAAAGAAGAACAACATGTAACATGTAACGGTGAGTTGCTAACAGCGACTTCAAAGTCAACATTAATGTTTGAGAGACACAGTGGGAGCATTTATACATTTAAATATGTATTTATCTTTGGTCCAGTGCAGAGGAACCGCCGGCCGCAGGTTGGCAGTAATGCGACACCGTTGGTGTTGACTAGCGCCCAAACCCACCGTAGAACAAGAACTTCCTGTTTAGCCCGACCTCCGCGGTGACAGCGGCTGCCGTTGTGTTGGAGAGAATCCACTCTGCTGTTTTGGTCCAGAGAAAATGACAGCCAGGAAGTCTGGTTCACGACTCGAGACCGAGATAGAGCGATGTCGGTCCGAGGCTCAGTGGGACAAGATACCGGAGCTGGTGCGGCAGCTCTCGGCTAAGCTAATATCAAACGGTGAGACATTAGTTTGTTTTCCTGTCTGTAGTTCATTCAGTCTGTAGGGCCGACTCCCTGCTCCGAGTCCTCGCTACTTCCTGACACTGACTGCGACTGTTTCTCCATCTATACAGAATAACAGTCCAATGTTTCCCCGATGTAAGAGTGTGTTCGTGTCGTGAACAGATGTGGTCTGTAGACTGTAATGAAGGTCCAGCTGTAGCTGACCTCCGGTTAGCTTCACCGACTCTGTGGCTCACACGAGTCAACGAGTCACCAGTCACCACAGAGCAACGACCATTCACACTCACACTCACACTCACATTCACACTCACACTCACACTCACACCTTGGAGTGCTACGTTTGAGATATTTTTAAAAACCAAGGGATTTTTTTAGGGAACACACGTTTAAATGCTAAATAAAAAATCATCTTTGACCTGATTTTCTGCCACATTCTGCTCCCGAACTCTGAACATCCTGCAGCGGATTTTAACGTGAAGCTAAAGATTCACTGTTAGAGCTGATGATGAGGACAAACAGGACAAATCACAACATGTGTCATGTCTTTAGGAGTCGTTTAACGTAAAGTGACTGCTGCTGGGGTTGTTGTTGTTGTTGTTGTCGTTGTTGTCGTTGTTGTTGTCGTTGTTGTCGTTGTTGTTGTTGTCGTTGTCGTTGTTGTTGTTGTCGTCGTCGTTGTTGTTGTTGTCGTTGTTGTTGTTGTCGTTGTTGTTGTTGTCGTTGTTCTTGTTGTCGTTGTTCTTGTTGTCGTTGTTCTTGTTGTCGTTGTTCTTGTTGTCGTTGTTCTTGTTGTCGTTGTTCTTGTTGTCGTTGTTGTTCACCAACTCCACAGTAATCATATGACAGTGACATAAATATAACATCCATTTAGAAATGATGAGAATTCTTCTTTCTTCCTCACACTGTTGTATGAACTTTGTGTCTAAACTTCAGCAGTTTCTCCACCGTGTCACTACAGCAGACTGAATGACGTGGTGTCATGTGACAGTAGAGCTGTGTCCACTGACTGAGATCAACGGATTAGTCCTCACACACACACGTTTTACTCACCTCTCCTGTTGTTAACTCGACCTGAAAACCAGAGGTCGCTGCTGCATTAATACTTTATCACGTGTCAAATCACCAGAACAAAATGACATAAATGATTCACTAAAGTTAAAGAACGGAACAGTGTCAGAACGGTCCTCATCAGGAGCATACTGCCACCTACTGGACTGGAGTGTGTAGTGTCATGGTATGACCAGTGACTCCTGACACCTTGACGGACCAGTCATCAAGGACACCATTCCTGGTGGACAATTGTCAGGGATTTGACCGATTCACTCAGTGTCCCTACTGGACACTGAGTGAATAGGTCAGTTACAGGTGAGTTACAGGTCAGTTACAGGTCAGTTATAAGTCAGTTACAGGTCAGTTACAGGTCAGCCCCAGCACAGACCATTGTAGTAGAATGTATTTGATGTGTTACAGTTCATACTGGATGTGGACGGTTTACTAACAGTCCTGTGTTGGTTCACAGAGAGTGTTATACCTGACGTGTGTGTGTGTGTGTGTGTGTGTGTGTGTGTGTGTGTAGATGACTTAGGGGAGCTGTTACTGGGAGAATGTAAGCTCCAGTCGTACTTGAAGGAAAATCCCATCAAACAAGGGGCCAGTCCCAGGGGCCCACGACCTAAACTGCTGGAGGTCAGGAAACACCTGACCGCGGCTCTGGACAGAGGAAACCTGAAGGTAACCATTGGAGTTCCTGGTCCAGATGAACTGGTCATCATCTCTTCTCCACCATCTGTCCCTCACTGTCTGTCTCTGTAGCATACATAGTAGCCCTGTACCCATCTGTCACTGTAGCTGCACACCTCACCGCTCATTCACCTCCTGCACCACCCTCACATGCTTTTCTGCCACTCCTGAATAACCTGTTCAGTACCACAGTTCCCCTCTAGACACTGGATCATGGATTAACCTTTTCTGTTTGTCATAGGCCGACTACCTGCAGGAGGCTCGGATGCTAATGGCTAAAATCTGCTACGTGGAGGGAGAATACACAGATGCTCTGGGTGAGTCACCCAGTGGACGCCAACTGTACTGCAACATTAAACTGTCAGATTGGTCAGAATACTTATGGTTAGGAGTGTGTGTGTGTGTCGACACACGGTCGGATCATCCGATGTTTTTACTCCTGTCGTAGGTCACTACAGCACGGTGAACCTGGACGACATGCAGCTGGTCGGAGCTCCAGTCTACAGACTGTCCATGATAGCAGAGGCCTACGCAACCAAAGGTACACACACACACACACACACACACACGTGTCGCACGTTCTTAACGTGAGAAGTTGTTCTCCTGATGAGGCGCTCCGTCTCCTCTCTCCAGGACTGTGTCTGGAGAAGGTCCCGGCTGCTTCTCCATCTCTGTCCAATAGGAACGCAGGGTCACAACCTCTGAACAGGAACTTAACTGAAAGAGAGCAGGAAATCATCACCTGCTACGAGAAGTCTGGAGACATCGCTCTTCTCTACCTGCAGGAGGCGGAGAAGGTCTGTGTGAGTGCACGTGTGTTGACGTTGGTGCACGTGTTCGTGCCTCCTGATGTCATCACCTGCAACATGTGTTGATGGTCCATCATCAGTCAGCTGACCGACCGCTGGAAACACGGCTGGTTGGTCGGTTGGTTGGGCTGTTTGTTGGTTGGTCTGTTGGTTGGTCTGTT